ATTTTAGGCTATTGTGAGCCCTTTGGATCTCACTCTGAGATGGGAATCCACTGGAGTATAGGGTTTTAGACAGAAAAGTGGCCTGATTTAACTTTTGATTTAAAAAGGATCACTCTGACTGCTGTGTTGAGACTAGTCTAAAAGGGGGAAACAAGAAGGCAAGAGCAGGAGCAGGGAAAGCAGTTAAGAGACTAATTTGAACTAGGGAGGTAGCAGTAGATGCAGTGAAGAGTGGTCAGAATCCAGATATATTTATTGGATGTGGAGTATGAAAGAAACTTGGAGACGCCCTGCAGACATCCAAGTATGGACATCAAGTAAGAAGTTGTATAGACACTGCTAAATTTGACTGGCTTAAAAAAAAAATTGTATAGAAAATAATTGGAAAATTACTAATCTCACTCACGTGGCTTTGGCGGGAGCTCTCAGTTCCTCACAGGGTCTCTCCACAGGCTTCTTGAGTGTTCTCCAGACACGGCAGCTGGCTACTCCAGAGCAAGTGATCCAGGAGACAGCAAGGCAGAGGCACAATGTCTTTTGTGAGCTAACCTCAGAAGTCACACGCCATCACTTTGCCACATTCTATTCGTTAGAGCCACTAAGTACAGTCCACATTCAAGGGGAGGAGAATTAGTTTCCACCATTTGAAGGGAGGATTATCAAAGAATTTGTGGACAAATTTTAAAACCAGAACACTCACGTGTGATTTTGTAATATCACACATCGATCATTTGGAAAATAATCATTCACTGAGTTACACAGACCTTTTAAATGTTGACACATTTCATTATTGTCAAAAATCATGCTAATATTACTATAGATCTCACTAGATATCACTACACACCTATTAGAATGGCTAAAAAATAGTGATTATAAGAAACAGTGGGTTGTGAAGAAACTCAAACATTGTAGGTGGGAGTGTAAAGTGGTATGGCCATTCTAGAAAATAGTTTGACAGTTTCTTACAAAACTAAACATGCATTTATCATACAACCCAGCAACTGCATTCTTATCTTCATGCAAAGTACACAAGTGTCATAACAGCTTTACTTGTAATAGTCCAAAACTGAAAACCCAAATGCCTCTCAATGGGTGAATGGTTGAACAAACTCTGGCATATTTCACTCCCAGATTCCTGTCATTTAACAAATCTAATAATTGGATTCTTTGTATCACCAGTCAAATCACTGTTAAAACCATTTAATAAACTACAGTTAATATGAAAGTCCTGCGTCTCCTGAATCTAGTTTGACAATGATTGGGGGGTAAATTGCTCAGCAGTTGATCTATCTAAAGTTTCCACCATGTTGTCTATATTCTTCCAGCTCAGAAAAAAGCCTCAGTCCAAAATCCTGTTTTATTTCCCTATTTTAATAACCCTGCATAACTTTTTTTAAAAAGTTCACACGAGTTCAAGTGGTGACACAATTTTAATAATTAATTCTATATACACAACATACTGTCTTATCATGTACCTTCTTCCCCCTTTTAAGGTGGTATTAGTGGCCCACCTGCAGAGTTCTATTATCTACTCATTCTCTCTGATTCTTTTCTTCACCAATCTCAGAGGCACTGAAATTTTCCCAAATATAATAGTTTGGATATTTTTAGATGCCTTCCCCAACCCTCGCCCACCAAGGAAGTTTTAAATCTACCTTGGGCTTTATATTAGTCAGCTTGGACTGCCAATAACAAAATACCACAGACTGGGAGTCTTCACAGAAATTTCTTTTCTCAGCGTTCTAGAGGCTGAAGTCAGCGATCAAGGTGCCAGCAGGGTTGGTGTCTGGTGAGGCCTCTCTTCTTGGGATGCAGATGGTCTTCTGTGCTTGCAGAGAGTGCTCTCTGCCTTATCTTCCTCTACTTATAAGGACACCAGCCCTATGGGATTAAGGTCCCACCCTTACAACCTCACTTAACTTTTAATACCTACTTAAAGGGCTATCTCCAAATCCAGCGACATTAGTGGGTAAAGCTTCAACATGAATTTTGAGGGGGACACAGTGAGTCTGTAACAGGCTTCAATTCCTCTGTCCAATGTTTGTTTTAGCATTTTCTAAATATGATACTTCAAAAATAATGGTTTTGTTGCTTAACTATACACTAATACTTCAAGCAATGAACTTTTATGTTTCTTCTTGCTTGCTTCAAATTTAACTTTTCAAATCCTTACATTTTTTATAAATCTTGGGTCATTTGGAGCTTTACCCAGATACCGTTCTTATGGTATTGTGTCAGTCAGGTATTCTATTTTGTGTTCTTCCTATCCCAGAAAGCAATAGAAAGATTTTTTTTTTTTTTTTTTTTGAGACAGAGTCTCGCTTTGTTGCCCGGGCTAGAGTGAATGCCATGGCGTCAGCCTAGCTCACAGCAACCTCAAACTCCTGGGCTCAAGCAATCCTTCTGCCTCAGCCTCCCGAGTAGCTGGGACTACCAGCATGTGCCACCATGCCTGGCTAATTTTTTCTATATATATATTTTTTTAGTTGTCCAGATCATTTCTTTCTTTTTTTTTTTTAGTAGAGACGGGGTCTTGCTCTTGCTCAGGCTGGTCTCCAACTCCTGACCTTGAGTGATCCACCCGCCTCGCCCTCCCAGAGAGCTAGGCGTGAGCCACCGCGCCTGGCCGAGAGATTTTTTTTTTTTTTTTAAAGTTTATAGAGCTGGCAGGGTGTAGTCACTCATGCCTATAACCCTATCACTTTGGGAGGCTGAGTGAGGCAGGAGGATTGCTTGAGGCCAGGAGTTCAAAACCAGCCTGGACAATACAGCGAGACTTCATATCTACCAAAAAGAATCAAGGTTTGAAAATACAATCACAGGTGAGCTCTTTTCCATTTCTAAAGTGCTGTTAAAGTATATGAAATTTCAAAAGGTGCAGAAAACAATCCCTTCTGAAGCCCAGAGGCTGAATGAGCAGTAAAAAGTGTCCTCCCTCTAACACATCTTAGGGCCAACATTATCTCCTCCACCTTCCTTAGGGAGCCTGCCATGCTGAACGTTTCCCCATCAGCTGCCTCACTTCATCCTGGCTTTTTGTTCAAATATTTTTTTTTATTTAAAAAGGAAAATAACATATGCCGAAGGGGAAAAAAATTGGCAGGGATGCATGCCACACTATAAACAGTAGTTTTTGGAAAAGAAGGGATTTTATCATTTCTAAATTCCTATATTTAAATTCAAATGAACATGCCCTACTTTTGGTAAGCAAGAAAAAATCTGATTTTTTTAAATAAAAAGGAAACTGGCAGTGAATTATCTTGTTGAAAGAAAAGTTCTCTACAGTCATCCTTATTCTGATAACTTATTTTATAGCTATTCATATATCTACATCTATTAAAATGAGGTAAAATATCCCTATTTCCATATTTTATATATTTTACATTTGTATTTGATTCTTTACTTAGCAAACCAAACATTTTACACTTTCTTTTTCTACTATGTGAAAACTTTACTCTGATCTGTAAGAGAGAGAAAACCTATTTGTCATGTGATATAGGCCATCTGGGAATCTGAGAAGCTGAGGGGGGAAATCTGCTTAAAATAGTACTGCTTAATTTTATACAGAAAGAGTAACTTGGTACCAGGATGTAGTTAATATAAGGAACAGGAAGAAACCACACAAAGAACCAATTCTAAAATGATATCTTCATTTTTAATTTCTTAAAAAGCATGTTCACAGCACACTCCAAGAATGCCACACAGCAATGGTTTGCTGCTCTTTGTCAGAGTATGTCAGAGAACAAAAAACAAAAAAATGGTTAATGGTTTTAAAAATTAGTTCTCTGAAATTTCCATAAAGCCAATAATCAATCACCAGTCATTTAAATTTTTATTTCAGAGTAGTAAACATTTCAAAAATGTAGTAAGTATCTACCCAAAATCATACTTCTCTGAAATGTAATTAAAAGCTATACAACAAAACAAAAATAAATATTCTTCTAGAAAGAAAATATTTGGCATTCTGAAATAATGTTAAAAAGAGAAGCTTTCCAACATAAAAGATGTCCAGATTTTTACTTTCTATTACCAGACAGAAGGTTTGGATCTTTAGTGGTTCCAATCTGACTTCAGTAATAGGAGGAATGATTACATTGTGCTTAATGAACTTCAATCCTAACAAAGCCAATATACTTTTCCAGTACAGTGCTTACTTTTTTAAAGAAGTGTTATACAGCCAGTACTAAAAACTATTAATAGTGAGGCCAGATAGCTCAAATTAGTTAATTTGGTACACAAGTGATTTTATACATACTTTGATTACTTAATATTTCTAATTAACTTGTTATATTCCTCTTAAAATCAACCAATAAGTATATGGTTTTAGTGAAATGTAAACTGAATTTTGTTTCATTGATTTCATTAAAGTATGTCAAACATGGTTAAGGCTTATATTCTGTCCTTCCAGATAATTTATATTTTCATTATGAGTATAGAGCAGTCACACCATGATTTATATCCTAATCACTTTACCTAAATGTAAAGAAGTTGAAAGTTAAATTTAAAAATCCAGAGAGTTAACAAGTTCTTATACTTTTAACTCTTTCAGAAACCTATGATGCCTTTTCTTCAGTGAGTACGACAAAAGTAGAATTTAGTTCCTTTTCATGAAAATGAAATGTACCAATAAAAAGTACATTGCTTATGACTATTTCCATCAGACATTCTGAAACCAAATTTTCATCTGTAACACCCACTAAAGAGAATAAATTTTCCTTTAGAGTCATGGCCACACACTGAAAAAGAATTGAGAAGGGCTAATTTTAAGCCAATAAAATATCTGAGGAAAGACACAACACAAAACAGGGAGGTGAATAAAGCAAATATGTTGTAATAAAATCCTCCCTTGTAAACACATCTGTCTTTTCCTTCCACATTTGGAAATGTTACCTAAGTTTTAAAAATTCTCATCAAAACATTTTGTAACATGAGTCATGTAAAATTAGGCCTATTTCAGCCAGATAACCTATAGCTGTTAAAGAATTATATTATCCTGTTTGTAAGATGAGAGGTAGTGACATTTTATTCTCTCAATGCTGAGCTAAGAATTCCACACATCTGGCACATGGGTTACAAGGGGGAAAAAGCACAGAAGCACCATTGTATACGCCTTATGTTTCGGTATTTCAAGTCACCCATAACTTAATTTGCTGTTGGCAGCTGACAATCACTGCTGTGTGAACACTGAAAGCAGTGGGTGTTGGTGCTATTCATCATAGAGTACTGGCGGGCCTCCATCATCTTTCAAAAATGAAGCCGCTTTCCTTCCATTCTTCTGAACGTGATCTTCATTCATTTTCTCCAAAGCTTCTATCTACAAAATTAATACATTGAATCCATTTGTCAAAATCCTACTTCACAGAAATGGTACGAGGATATTCCAGATGATGCTGGCCTCGAATTGGAATTACAGTGTGTGCACACACATATATTCACACATACATGTGTGTTTTTGACTTGATTATATCACCAGGGTCAATATTTAGTATTTTTATCAAGCTAGCAACTGGAATCACAAAGTCTCACTGTGTACTTTATAAAACTTTCTGGGAACAAGAAAAAGAAAATTCCAATATTCATTCAACAGTAGTAACACCTACTTACTGAGCAACTATACTGTGCTAGACGCTGAGTTTACCATCTTTCTGTTACTTCTCCTCTGGCCTTAGGTTCTAGCACAGCTGAACCAAACTCAAGTCATATGCAGGAGTTCTGGAACAGACTCAATAATCATTCTCTGCTTTGGTATTAATGCTGGGAATAATTAAATGCTGTTTCACTTTTTAGTTTTTGTTCAATTTTAAGAGACCTTCTCTGGAGGGAGACTTTTTATGGTTCTGTAGATCTGCTATTATGATTGCGTATGTCTAAGGATGGCTACTTCTAACTTTCTATGTTCAGTGAAGGGCACAGACCATGTGTTACTGCTTTTTGTATCACTCAGAGTGTCTGTCAGTCAACTTCCTCACTCAAGAAACCAGGGGATATAGGACTATACTGACAATATGTTGTCTGTCAATCTTAACCAAACTGTGAACTCTCTGAAAAAGTTTGCTCTATGTTTAAGTTTTAAGCCTGGAAAGAACCAAAAACATCTCAAGAAAACAAAAATCTCAAATTAATTGTTTTAAGGGAAGAGAGGATAAAATTAGCTCTGGATTTCAGTCATGTCTTCTATGCAGTTCTCCATTATTAGCAAGGTGAAAATAGCCATGTTGTCACTCACCTCAGCTAGAAAGTCAGCTTCATTATCTGCTGAGATATTTAAGCCAGAAACAGCATTGAAGAGGTCTCGTTCATTAAGGGCTTCCTTAACTCCCCCTTTCTGGAAAAACTAGTAAAGAAATGTAAGAAAGTCAGTAAGAGCTATTAGCAAGGTTCTCTTATAAACTAAAAATAGGGAACAATACACTTGTAAGACACCACTGAATTCCTTCCCTCATTTTTCAACTACTGATTTTCCCACTTCAAGTTTAACTATGGTCAGGTTCTGCTTTTCATCATCTTACACATCTGTTCTGCCTTCTGGATTTAGTTCATCACACCGCACCCCGCTACGGCTATAAAAATGAGTGGTACATATAAAACTGCTTGGCATTACCTTGAATGTGTAGATGCAGTACTTTCACTAAATCCCACGAATTAAAATTTTCAAGCAGGCTCAGAGGTTATTTCCAATATGATGTTATGCTAGCCTTTAGAAAGATCATTCCTATCTGAATCTATTGCTAACAACTCATTTCCCTTAGAAATGGCAAACAAATATGACCTAGCTCTGTGCTTACTGAGTTTTACCTCCCCTAATCTTTTTACTCTGCTTCACAGTGACAGTGGCCAGACGCTGTCCCACTAAGGACACTGTGCTCCTTTTCATGGTAGTAATGATGGCAATAAGCACACAAGCTTACTGCATATCAGCTTCTGTTTAAGGACTTTGCATACATTAAATGTCTACTTGACTGTTTAAATATGCAAAACACACATTTCCTTGAACATTTTACTCAAATGTGAAACATGGAATCAAATTCTTGCTGAAAATGAAATCCGATAATTGATCTTTATATCCTTATCTTGAAAGCAGCCAGTCTCCCTTCAACTCTGAAGAATATGGTCCTCTTACTTATCTTAGGGGTGAAAAAAATATTTAGACTTGTTACATCCTAAAAAAGACGTATCGGTTTACATGCCTACCTGTGAGACATTCCTACAGTCACGGAACAAGAACTCCAGGCCGTGAGGATGGGTTGGTTCTACAGACTGACTAACGTCAATCAACCAGACCTATTTAAACATAGAACATACAGCGATGTATTCATAATACATTCAATAACTGACATCAAGTAATTGAATCTGAACTTTAACAAAACGTGCTCCTCACCTTTCCAGCGTGCCACAGCATGTTATATTCACTGAGGTCGGCATGGACAAGTGTACATTCATTATATAACTGCTGCATCAACTGTTAAGGGGGGAAGGCAAACATTTAGAAAATGAAGAAACAATTCTATTTACCTATGCAATTAAAATGTGTATATCAACCAATATTGTCTAGAAAAAAAGCAAAACAAAGTTAAAGAACTTATTTCCTCTTTACTTTGTACAATTTAGGACTGGGCTTTTTTGTTTGTTTGTTTGTTTAGGTAGCATGGGGGAACAGTAACACATGGAGGGGATCGGTGTGTGACACTCCACTTCCTTGTCCTTGTGATAGCAAGATCAGGAGGCTAAGGGTCAGACCTGGACTCCCACACCAGTAAGACAGCAGCTGTGTCTACTGTCACTAACCAGGAGACCTAGGTAAGCCACTGCCCTTCATAAAAGGGCAAATGTCACATACAGACCAATATGGGGTATATACAATTCTAAGGCGAAAAGTACTTCCTGCCAGACATAACAAGAAAGAGATATTTTTTATTTTTATTTTGTTTTTTAGATACAGGGTATAGTTCTGTCACCCTGGCTGGAGTGCAGTGGCCCAATCATAGCTCACTGCAGTCTCAAAACTCCCGGGCTCAAGCCTCCCGAGTAGCTGGGACTACCGGTATATGCCACCACACCTGGCTAGGGAAAGAGATATTCTTATATATTAAGTGGCATTATATATTTATTATTGATGGTGACTCCCTAGTGTTATAGTAGAAATCAACATTAATGCATTTGTTTGCCCGCCTTAATAGAATTAAATAGGAAAGGTGCATTACTACTTCAATCTCTTTCCCAGCCACCCCACCTCCCAAAGCCAGAAAAATGGACTTGATTTTCCTTTCAATGTTTCCCACTGGAGGCAGGGAAAGACAAATCATCTTTCTAGCCATATCTTTTTTTTTTTTTTTTTTTTTTTTTTTGAGACAGAGTCTCACTCTGGTGCCCAGGCTAAAGCGCCGTGGCGTCAGCCTTGCTCACAGCAACCTTGAACTCCTGGGCTCAAGCAATCCTCCCACCTCGGCCTCTCAAGTAGCTGGGACTATAGGTACACACCACCATACCCGGCTAATTTTTTCTATTTTTAGTAGAGATGGGGTCTCACTCTTGCTCAGGCTGGTCTCGAACTCCTGAGCTCAAGTGATCCTCCTCTCTCAGCCTCCCAGAGTGCTACGATTACAGGTGTGAGCCACCACACCTGGCCTCTAGCCATATCTTAAAAAATTAATTTGATTAACATTTCTATATTTACATTAGCTGCTGCATGACAAGATAGCTTCGTGCAGAGACTGCATAAGATGCACATTAAGTTTCTCCAGTGTTGAAGTTGCTGTTTCAAAGCATGACTAGTTTCCTCCAGATTCCTAACATGCGCCTTCCATCTCTAACACCTGCACTTCCTACTATTTTCAATTTTCATCATCACTTTCTTAATAATGAGAGCAAATCTGCTTGCCTTCCTTCACTCTTAGAGCCATAACATTCAAGAAAGCATACAAATTAATGAGGCACTGTATCTGCTAAATGTACTAATGTCAAATTTTAGTTAATGAAGTTTTGTGACAAACAGCTTCATGCTCTATGTCACTAATGCTAATAATGAAGCCTTCTCTTGCTCCACAAGTCTAGAAGTTTTCTAAAACTACTCAAGACACCCACATATTGATATGAAGACAACTCTTCAATGTTAACATTCCTTCATAAACTTCAGTTTGTCCTCATTGTAACACCTTGAAATAGTACTATTAATATTTGAGGACATTTTTTAAAAAGTTTAGAGGAAACGTTTTTAAAAGTCAGTGTGTGAATGCTTTTAAAAGGCGCAACTTACACGAAGAGTTTGATAGTAGGCTTCTTTCATTTCTTCACTACTGAGCTTTACTTCTTTTAATTTAGGGGCTGGAACTTGATCATGGCCAATAAAAGACATAACTAAAATGTGTTTCTTGAGTAGTACAACTGTTGGACAAGGAATTCCAGCTCTCTGCATTCTACACAGAAGAAATGATCAAGTATGCAAAGATCAGAAGGAGAATATATGTCATTTGTTCAACAAATATCTACCCAGGGCCTGCAATTAGCTGGTACTAAGTTCTACCCTGGCGATATGGGAATACAAAGACAGTAAGACACAGCCTCTGCCCATAAGGAACCCACAGACTGGTGGAAATGACAGACAAGTGAGGAGACAATCACAGTGCAGCGTGACATCCATGCTGGCAGAGGTATGGCTAGGAGCTACGGGAGCGCACAGCACCCAGGAAGACTTATTAGAAGAAGAGGTGGGAATAGCAATTAGCCAGATTAAGACAATAGAAGGAAATGTGCTCAAGAGCACAATCCATTTGGAGAATGTAAATCAATCCACATAGATGGACCTGTGAGTAGGAGGAAGGGAAATGTGGGTTGAGGCTACAGAGACAGGCAAGCTCCATATCACAAAAGGTCTTTGAATTTACGCTAAAGACTATGGGAAGCTGTTGAAGAATTTTAAGACCGTCAGGAATGAGATGTCAGTAGTACAGAATAGAGACTGAAGAACAGCAAGACCTCCTAGGAAATTATTCTACTTGGAAGTAGAAGAATTTTGCAACTAATATATATGGATAATTACTTTTGAAAGCAAACATCTTTAGAAAAGAACAAACTAAAATCAAGCTTTTGACAGATTAAGATAACGGGAAGATTTATTAATGGGAAGGGTTATTACTGAATTTCTTGGTTGATAAACCAAATTCTTTGATAGAAAATAAAGTGCTTAGAGAATTGAGAAATGAGTCTAATAAATTAAAGTAAAATGCAATTTGGAACCCCCAACAAATTAACAAATTAGGTGTGCTAAACAACATTTTCTGAAACAAAAAGGGAAATCATATTTTATGCTAAGCCTAATTAGATGCTGGAAGTTTTATTTCTTGAGAAAGACAATTTAAAAAATAGCATGTCTTAGGCAGAAAATGCCTTAGTTTCCCTCAAACTTCGCTGAGGAAAGAAAAAAGGAAATGGTTTTTTCATCATAAAAGTATGAATCCAGGTTATACACATGGCCTTTCATTATTTCTATAAAAGAATTTAAAATAAAGCATAGATTCTTTGTCCCAATACAAAAAGGTATTTACTCAAGATTATTTCTAGCACAATGATTTTCTTTACCTTGTGAGATTGTGCATTTCTTTTTCTGCCCACATGCGGATGATCTTACGTGGATTTAGTTTACTGAAGCGATCTTTAAACCTGAAATCATCTTTAATGTATTTGTCACGATTCTTAAACTCATTAAGGGTTGTTTTAAATACCTTGATGGCACATTCTGTAGGTATAACTTTACTATCTTCCTTTTCATCCTCCATGCTAAGTGGAAGAAGAAAAATTAAGTCAGTATAAGTTGCCAGCTCACAAGTAAGACAATTTCAAAATAAAGATTTTATAACACTAAATTAAATCTACCTTTTCTAAGAGTGTCAAGTCTCGTTTTGTTTTTTTTTAAGCCTTTAAGTTTTGGATCTTAATAAAACCCTAGGTTTTGGTTTGATTTTTTTACAATAAAATATACTTTCAAATAAATTGTCAACCAGTTTTCTACAATCCATAACATAATGTTCTTCACTTAATGACTGTGGAATCAAGCTTGAGATACAATGAAGACGTATACACTTTAAAACAGGCTACAGGGCCGGGCGCGGTGGCTCACGCCTGTAATCCTAGCTCTCTGGGAGGCCGAGACGGGCGGATTGTTTGAGCTCAGGAGTTCGAGACCAGCCTGAGCAAGAGCGAGACCCCGTCTCTACTAAAATTAGAAAGAAATTAACTGGACAACTAAAAATATATAGAAAAAATTAGCCGGGCATGGTGGCGCATGCCTGTAGTCCCAGCTACTCGGGAGGCTGAGGCAGTAGGATCCCTTGAGCCCAGGAGTCTGAGGTTGCTGTGAGCTAGGCTGACGCCATGGCACTCTAGCCGGGGCAACACAGTGAGACTCTGTCTCCAAAAAAAAAAAACAGGCTACAGTCTACCTGGGACGGTGCTGGCGCAAAATTCAATAAAAGCAACAATTAAAACAGCTTATTTTAAAATAACTCTTTCACTCCTAGCAGATATAAAGGTGAGTAAAGGGGTCACTGCCCTGTGAGTCTGCAAGGAGGGGCAGATAAAAGGGAGTATAAAAGCAGTACATGATTAGGACAGGCCCCTTTTGATTGGAAAGGTCAGGCAAGGCTTCATGGCACAGGTACCATCTAAACAGAACCAAGACAATAGGTAGGATTTGAACAGTATTAACAAAAGCAGAGGTAGGAAACTATACGACATATCTGAGGAACAACAAACACTACACTTAAAACTTGGCTGGACAGAGGGAATGACACAACTTGGAGCCAAAGGGACAGGACAGGGGCACATCTGTGATGAGCCAGGACAAATTCCCAGGTGGTGGGAAATCTCAAGGGCTTCTGAGCATGGCACTCGCAAAGACACACCTCATGAGGATCAAATGAGGTAAGGTCAGGAAGGAAGGGTGCAGGGAAAGGCTAGAGGTGTGGGGCCTACTCGGGATGCTACTGCACTTGCCCCTCAATAGTGAGATATTAAAAGGCTTGAATCATGGTGGTGGCAGCAGGAATGAAAAGGAGGTGAATAGAATGACAGACAATATTTACCTTTAAATAGCTGAAAGGATATTAATCTGTAAAAGGAAGTAACTCTATATCCAGAGGACAGAATCTGAATCAAACCTCCAACCTCTTTCTGTACCCTGTTCTCCCTGCTGACTCCTCCTCCTCCATTTAGTCTCTCCAGCTGGTTCTGAGACAACCCCAATCTCTTCCTGGGCAATTTCCTTTAGCCCCACGGCTCTAAATACTATCTGTATATAAATAACTCCACATTTCTATCCCAGTCCTGACTTTCCCTAGAACTCCAGGCCCATTTATCCAATTCCCACTTGACATCATCTGGATGTCTAGCAGGTGTCTCAAATTTTACAAGCCCAAAACGAAACTCTTGATAACTGTACCCTAACCCTACCCTTCCTCAGGCTCTCACTTCAGTAAACGGCACCACCACCAGCTGCTCTAGCCCAGAACCTATCCTCTCACACCCCACATCCAGTCCAACGGCATGTGCTATTCATCCTACCTTCAAAACACACACCAACGCCCTCCTACTCTTCACTTCCACGATCACCTCCTTAGTCCAAACCTCCCCCATCTCTCATTTAAACTACCATGATACCTTTTTAACTGATTTTACGGCTTTTTCTCTTGTCCTCCTATAACTCATTTTCCACACAGCAGTCTGAGTAATCTTTTGAAAATAAAAATCAACTCAAACCTTGGGTTCCCACTACAGTTAAATAAAGAGCAGATTCCTCACCCTGGCTTACAAAGCCTTACCTGATCAAACCCCCACTTACTTCTCCAGCTCCTCTCTCCCCTTCACATACTCTGCTCCAGGCAGACTGTTTGTCTTACACTCCCTCAAAGACACTAACCTTGTACCTGTCCAAAGGCATTGGCACCAGTTGTTCCCTAGTCCAGAATGCCCTGCCACCTGATCTTTGATGTATCCTGGATGTGTCACTCAAATGACACTTGGTCAGAGAAGCCTTCCCTGTCCTACTAATCAAAACTAGTCAACCAGTCACTATGACATCACCATAACTATTTGCATAGCACACAGCTGATTTTGTTTGTTATTTTTATTTATTGATTGATTGATTTAGATAGAGTCTTGCTCTGTTGCCCAGGCTAGAGTGCTGTGGCATCAGCCTAGCTCACAGCAACCTCAAACTCCTGGGCTCAAGCAATCCTCCTGCCTCAGCCTGTCAAGTAGCTTGGGACTACAGGCGTTCACCACCACGCCCTGCTAATTTCTATTTTTTAGTAGAGATGGTGTCTCACTCTTGCTCAGGCTGGTCTCGAACTCCTGAGCTCAAGTGATCCTCCCGCCTTGGCCTCCCAAACTGCTAGGATTACAGGTGTGAGCCATCGTGCTCAGCCCTTTTTATTTATTATTTTCTTGGAGGTGGGTTGAAGGGAGGGGGAAGCACATTCTATTAGAGCAGGGGCCTTCCTTGCACCATTCATTACTGTATCTCCAGTACCTAGAAGAGTACCTGGCACATGGTAGGTGCTCAAATACTTGGTGAATGGAAGACTCAATTTTCAGGGAGAAAGATTAGAGACTCTACACAGGGAAGAAATTTCCAGTTATTTAAAGACATTATGACAGAATGGGCTAGATTTTAAGACGATAAGCTCCCTGTCATTGGAATAGTTTAACCATATAGTAGGTGATGCCCTATCAAAAATATTGTAGAAGAGATTCCTTACTTGGAAGGTCTCTAGCATAGAGTCCAATTTATAAAATTCACTTTGTCATTCTCCTGCTGAAAAACATCCTGTTTCTTAGCAAATGACATTCTGTTTCTTAGCTTCTGCCTAGCTTTTAAGGTACTCCTTACCAACTTCCAGTTTGCTTTATATAGCTTTACTTCCTATTACCTCTAAACACATACCTTCCAATCTTCTCAGTGCCTAACTTCAACACTCCCATGCTTAGCATTTTTCTTAAAGAATTACACATTACAGATGAAGCTCAAGTTCCCTTTGATTATCACCCAGGTAGTTTCATTTCCCATCCCAACTCACCAGAGGCAATCACTATCATGAATGCTTTATTATTAGTCCTTTTTAAAATATAGATATATAAGTATACATATGCATAAGCATCTATAAATATCCATATACATTATTTTCTATATGCCTTTAAAATTTTAAATAGATGATATACTATATTTATTCTGCAACCAGCCTTTTGCACTCAACATTGGATTTTTTTAAACCTATTTTTAAAATCCAGGTTGAGATCTAACTTCATCGTGATGCTTTTCCTGAGGGTGCCTGGCAATGATCTTGTTCTTTTCTCTATTCCTATTCCCCACAAGGTCTTATTTGCACAACTGTTTACTCTATTATGTAATTATCTTATTGACCATAAAATGATTCTTGCTGTAATGTTCTCCTCTTGGCTACAGCATAAGCTCTTTTGAGAGTAGAAAACATGCCTTATATTTATTCCCTGAAATATAATAGTACAAGTTACTCTTTGAGTAACTGTTAATTGGTTGGCCAACCTGAGAGTAATAGAAACCAAAAGAGCTTTGTGGGAGGCAGAATTCTAAGATGGCCCCCAAGATCCCAGCCTCTGGTGTGCACACCGTGTATACCCCTCTCCCCTAAGCATGGGTGGGATAGCCACTCCCTGCATTAGGTTATGTTATGTGGCAAAGGTGATGGTCTAGTCATTCCCGTGATTACATTTCACTATCTAAGACTCAGTCTCGGGGAGGTGGGGGAGTTAAAAAAAGAAAAAAAAGACTCAGTCTTATCAGACTGGAGTGAGAGATTCTCCTGCTGGCTTTGAAGGAATGAGCTATCACGTGAAAGGGTCTGTGAGAGGGCCCCATGGCGAGGCCTTGAAGAGTTGAGAGCAACCCCCGACAGACAGCCAACAAGAAGTAGGACCTCAGTCCTATAGCTGTAAGGAACTGAATGATGCCAAGGAAAGAGGATGCCAAGCTCCAGAAAAGAACACACAGCCTGGCCAACACCTAGATGGCAGCCATATGCAAGACAGAACCCAGCTAAGCCGTGCCCAGACTTCTGGTCAACAGAAACTATCAAACAATAAATGAGTGTTGTTTGAAGCTGCTAAGTTTGTGACAATTTGTTATGTAATACACAAAACTAAGAAACTTTTAAAAGCATTTATTTTCAGTTGTAGAAAACTGAAAGCTCTCTAGTTTTGCTAACTTAGAAATGCTGATGTACAGATTATGATACCAATTCTACCAGAAAGAAAGATCATTCATTATATCAGAATATCATTAAGTATAATATAAAATGGAAAAAGGATAAACAAGACAGTTGACGAGAAATACAAATGGCTACTAAAGCACTTGAAAAAAATTGTACAACCTAATCATAATTAAATACCAAAATACCAAGATGCTACTTTTCATCTTTCACACTGTCAAAAAACAATAAGTTTGATAATAAATAGTAAGCATTGGTAAAGATGAGGAAAAGAGGTTCATACTGCTGGCGGTAGTATAAATTGGTCAACCATCTCGCAGAGCAATTTGGCAATATCTACTGACATGCAGAATATACACAACCTGCAGATTTGACTAGCTCATAGGGAAAATGACATTTGCCCTCCTATTACATGATAAACACAAATTCAAGATTTTGGCCTTTGATATGACATATAAGAAAACATTTTCTAAATTTTAAGATAAATTTTTAAAAAAGAAATCAAGAAATATGCTTGCTACAATAGTCAGCTCAGGGGCCCAAATAGTGAGCAAAATCAGATACTCCTCATTCAATGAGGCCTTCCACTATTTAACAAAAAAAGGGAAAAAATGCATATTAGTCTTTGCCCCCGCAATTTCACTGTTAGGAATTTAGCTTAAGGATATATTTGCAAAAGCATACCAAGATATATGTACAAGGATAGTCCATACAATGGAATGTACTATTTTAAAAACTGGGGTGGCAAAAGCTAGTAATACAGAATATTAATAATATTATAATATATTAACTGAAAAAAACTAAGATCCTGAATGTAGAGTATAATCTCTTTTGTATGAACAAAATAAAGGATACATGTGTAAAAAAATTTCTAGAAGACTAAACACTGCTAATAGTGGTTACCTCTGGAGAAAAGATCCATGAGGTGAGAGTAGGTAATATGAAAGCTACTGTTTATTTCAATCCTTTCTGTAAAGTTTTAAGTTACCACCATGAGCAATCTTTCATTTTAAAATAATTTGTGCTGTTTTAAAATAGTATTTGTCTGGTTTCAGGGAATCCTTAGGTGGGATTTGGAAAGAGGGAAAGAAAGCTTAAAGGAAGAAATAATGTTTATTAAGATTAATATATACCAGGTATTCTCAAATGTGATCTCATTTATCCCCACAAAAATCACATGAGATGAGGTTTAGTAACTTGCTCCAGATCATACAGTTTGTGTAGCTTAGACTTTCCACAGTAACACTCAAAATTACTCGGCTTGCATGCAGCATTATCTTTGGGAAGAAAGGATGGTATCACATTGTGCTCATTTACCTCCCTCCATATGCATGAAAGACAACAGATTCCTTTCCTGTACTAATACAGCCAGTGATTGTCTCCAACATTCCAGAGTTGACCATTTTATACATAAGTAAACGTGTCTTAGGATCAACTGCTTTTTCCTGCAAAAGATAAAGTGCTGTAAGTGAAAATAACTGTTCATCATAAAACATTTTCTAGACCATTTCTAATACCTAACATTTAAAACATTTACTATTTTTTTTTAAAAGACAGGGTCTCACTTTGTTACCCAGGCTGGTCTCAAACTCCTGGGCTCAAGTGATCCTCCTGCCTCAGTCTCCCAAAAGCTGGGACTATAGGCTTGAGCCAGCTCAGCCAGCTTCAAAACAAATATTTACTTTTTTAACCTTTATTATTTAATTTACCTAGATGTATATATAACAGGCTCTTAAAAGAGTTCTGTCAAGATAAAATTCATACCTATAAATATAACTCTGATACCTCTGAAAGTGAAAATCTCAAAGAACCATTACAAGTCACTTACCCCTTAAACACATAAAATTTTGTCGATTAATTTATAGAAGAGTCAGACACTAACTTAGTCAAAATCTAATTTTATCCCCAAAGTTTAAATAGTTCTCCTAGTGTTCTTATCATTAGTTTTTCTAAATGTTTAATAAATGAGTTTCAAGATATTAGACATGCTCTTCATTAATGTAAAACATTACGGACTATTAAGTTATAAATATGTCAATAATGTAATAGGAAACAATTTTTAAAAAAATCTGGGAACATTTCAGCTGCAATATAAATGATATAGTCCAATTAACTACGACCACTAAAATGTTAGGTTTGAATAAGTGATTAATAATCAATACACTAAATCTGAAAAGTCAAATAGCAAAGCCACTTGGATTTTATTTACATTTTTGATTTGAAAAGCCAGTCTCATGAAAAAATATCAAACATAAAGTTTTCTAATATGAATCTTTCCATTAAAGAAGAAAAAAAATAGGAATCCTTACTGCAGTAGAATGTTCCTTTTTCTCATGGAGGCGGGCACTTCGTCTTTCCTCTGAGTAGGCATGTTGTTTTAAAGCATTGAAAACATGGTTTGATAGTTTTAAATCCATTCCAATTCCATCTCCTACCTGAAATCCAGGAGCAAACTGCCAAAAAGAAGAATTAGCATGAAATATTTTTAAATGGGGACAGTAAAAAACAAACAATCAACAACAAGATTAGTCTTCACCTGGAACAGGTTTCTTACTCAACGGGTGATCATGCTACAAAATCAGAATCCATAGGTACTACAGAGAAAAAATAAAATAACTAACAGAAAGAGGAGCACTGCTACAAAAGAAATTGTGACTGAAAGAAAGGCATTTATTCTATGCATAGAAAATAGCTAATCACATCTAAAACTAAGGTCTTTTAACTATGCAAGGTACATATGCTTTGTACCTTGCTTTCACATCAGCCAAAGGACGTGTATATTTCGAAGGCTGTACCAAACATTACCAAAGAAATAAAATTTCATAATTAATTATTTTTGAGGAGTGGGTTAGTATATCAAACTATGCACATACCATGATAATTACGTTCTAGAGCTGCACAGCCCAATTAGGCTGCAGGCCAATTAGGCATAGGCCAATTAGCCACTACCCACATGTGTATATTTCAGTTTAATTAAAATTAATTTTAAAATTCAGTTCCTCAATTGTACCACCCAAATTTCAAGTGCTCAATAGCAAAGGTGGCTACTATACTGGACAGCACAGATATAGAACATTTCCATTATCACAGAAAGTTCTATTGGACAGCAGTGTTCTAGAATCAGATCTGGAATATTTCTAGAAATTATATAATTTAATAATATGTTTACTTAACAAGATTTGTGTTCTAAAGTCTAAATGTTTTATATTAACCACAATATTTATGAAAGAGTTAGAATGCTATATTTTAAAATCATACTTTATTTCTGATTTGGCAGGAATAGTTCAGGAGTAAGATAAAAAACTCAAAAAACATAAAAGGACATATAGTAAAAAGTATTTCTCCCTCCCATTCCTATCCCCCAGTCACCACTATTATCTGTTTCTTGGATAGGGATGCTATTTTATAGAAAATAATATGCTGAAAAATGAATGTTACATTCATAAGAACTATTTCTTAATTTTAGAATCAATGTAAATCAAACAAGTTTTTTCAACATTGCTCTAGAATTTTATTCTGAGGTAATTTATATTCTCATTAGTGGCTGAATTTTCATGGTATTGCTATATTGTTATCTAAAGCATCTTTAGAAAGGAAGAATATTTTTGGAAATTTAAGATATTATATTTATTTAGAATCCTATGTTTTTAAAACTTATGCAAACAAAACTCTCAATTCAGAGATAGATACTTTCTGTAACTTACATTTTCCATTCTTGCTGTATTCTTTCTCCCACATACTACTTCATCATGTTTGGTGGTGATGTCTTTTCCTTTTCCAATAAAACCCTTTTTGGGAGTGGGAACTGGTTTTGCTAAAGGCGATTAAGACAAGCCAAGTATATAAATAGCAAAGACTAAATTGCTGCGTTCAACATTGTCTGAAAAGACATTTGAATCTAAGAGTAAATTACCAAACAAGACTCAAAGGAAAATAAAAAATTGAAAGGGTTCATTGGAAAAATTAGTCTTCATGTACCCCTGTTCTATCCCCCCAGAAAATGAATGCATTGATACCTGGTCGGTAGGGATCATCGCGAGTATCCTGCCAGTCAACCTCATCTTCAGAGCTATCGCTGTCTTCATAAGGATGCACTTTTCGATAATTTTCAAAGGAAATGGAAACTTAAAAGGCAAAAACAGTTGAAGATTTATTTAGGAGCACATTACAAGCATTTTCTACCGCTCAATGGAGTTATCACAATAAGGTTATAGTACCTTTGCTATCTCCATTGAATTTTTTTTCTTCACGCCTAAGCTGTGCATCATATTCTCTGTCGAATTCCATCTGTAGCATCTGAGCCAGCATCAGGTCACTGGAAGTGTCAATGTTTTCTCCAGTAATAAATGGTCCTTCAGTAACACTATTCAAAATAAGGCAACATAAACTAACGTGCTTGTGTAAATAGAGGCTACCAATTATGAGAAGGATGTGTCTTTTCAGTGTTAAAACTGTACTGAACTATGGGAAAGAACTCTGTGAAACCATTGACCTTCTCCTGCCCAACTAGGCTCAAGACTAATGGCATGCACCTGTGAGAGCACCAACTAGGACTAAGAAAGTTGGAAGGAAAAAGCTAAAGGGTCTATAATAAAATCCAAACTGAGACCCAGAATTTATTTGTTCTGTGTTCTAATCATAGGAGAGATAAATATTTATGAAAAGATAAACTACAAACACTTGATCAAAACTGTGCCTCATCTAGTTCAACTGCTGCATTAATATGAAATCACTAAAACCCAGAGAAATAGTGGTTTGTCCAAGATAATGGAAAAACCAATCATAGACTCAGGACCAAAATTCAAATATCAGTAGACTCCTGGTATCGTGCTCTTTCTACTGCACTGCTTTTCTTTTTTGGAGACAGAATCTCACTCTGTTGACCAGGCTTGAGTGCTGTGGCATGATCATAGCTCACTGCAGCCTTGAACTCGTGGGCTAAAGCAATCCTCCTATCTCAGCCTCCCAAAGGGCATGAGCCACGGAGCCCGGCCCCTACTGCACTGCTTTTCTAAATGTATTTCTTACTCAGGTGTCATGACAATCACTCATCAAATCCCAAAACTTTGCTATAATAAGGTGCTAGATAAAATGGAAACTTTGTGAATTTTACTTACACAACTTCAGGAAAAGTGGCAGCTTCTTCTTCTAACTGCAATTCTTTGGCCAACTGTTCACTCATTACATCAGCCAAAGAACAAGATATTGTATTTTGAGGAGTAGCCCATGGACACTACATACATAAAAAAAAAGGGGGGGGGAAACAGTTTAATTCATAATAATGAAATAAAGTACTTTCCAACTTGTAAATAAGGTTATCTTTTGAGAAATAAACTACGTAGTTAAAAACCCAAATGAATGATTAGCTATTTGCAGAAATCGTCTCAAAAGTAAAAATACCTCCCAGGTCAAATTTAGTCCAGGATAAATGTAAACTGAAACAGCCAAAAGCACTTTCTAGGCTACTTAGTAGGTATGTCCTTACAGTTGAGGGGAAGCACTAGGCTACTACAACAGACAATGAGTTCACATAACTCTTCTTGGTCTGATTCCTTGCTCACCAAGCTACCTTCTGCTTATAATTTGGCTTCCCAAGTAGATTTTCTTATAGGAGTAGACTATACCAACTAGCACAATTCAGAGCCAACTGAGAAGTTATGCCCCACTCTAATTCAAGCATTAAGCCTTCTAAGTGTACAAAGTATGTCAGCCCCTCTCAATACATCTTAGTATACTAAAACAAAACCAAGAACAATAAAAATTATATTTCTGAACTTTAGAAGCTGAGAAACAAACTCAATACATTTACTCTTGACTCAGAGTAAAAAAATTTTAAAAAAATACAAATACAGCAAAGTAATGCTCTGTGAGATTCAGTCGGCCTTTCTCCATGACATCACTGTCTCAGCCTTCTTGAAATAGGTTTATTTCGCAATTCATAATTTTTGAGGGGGCAAGCCACTTTACTTAGCAGCAGCGATTACATTTTATAGTCTAGTGATTAAGATCACTAATATTAACATGTCTAAGCATCTCTTGAACTTTCCCAGCTCTCTCCATCCCTCCTCTTTGATTCTACCAAGGTATCTGATCACTGGGCTACTATTAGAGCATCCTAACTAATCTTCCTGCTCCCAGTCTTGCTTGTTTTCATTATCCACACAACACAATGGTTTCTCCAAATGCAGATCTGACTGGTTCAGTTTCAAAGGAAAGTGAACCAAAATAAATCTCTTATTGTTTCCCTCCCTTTAGAATAAAGTCCAAATTCATTCCTTAACTACTATTAGGTGTCTGTCTAATTTACGGTATAGCATATGATGATATCTGTTTTAGCCACAAAATTATTTAATCAAGTTTAGCCAGTATAGGCTCTCCAGCTGGTCTAATGGCCTGGTGGTCTAAGGGCCTGTTGGTATGACTCTTAGAGACAACTGGGCAAGTGACCTTTGTGCAGGTTCCACAGCATTGATGTTCAGGAATTTACTTGGCTCAGGCTGTTTGGGTGAAGCACCTAAGTGTGATAATTGATAATTACATATTCATGCCTAAATGAATCAGAATCAAGTTTTATCTGGTCTCATCCTGAGTTCAAGGAGATGCACCTGGCCCCTAGGATATACCCACATTAGTCTATTGCAGAATTGTTCCAGCCTTATAAAGGCTAGGCCTGAAGAGAACAGGGAGGCTTCATGAAGGTCTGCAGTGACTGTCATTCACTGAGAGCTTATCAGCAATTGAGCACTCTGATGGTGAGGACTTTAAGGTCTGGAATCTTGAAAGTCTGTAATCTGGAGAACATAGCTAATCATTTGGGTACATGACTCTGCTGACTTCCTTCCGTATCCTCTAGGTAGAAGTCAGAATGCCTTTTAGCCTAGAAATGCTTCATCTGATCAGTTTCAAAGTCTGAGTCCAGGTTCACAAAATGCTGTATTCTCTGACTCAGAATTCTCAATCCACTTAGGCAATGACTAATAGCCACCTAACAGACATTTAAATATTCCGTATATTTAAGTCACTTGGTAAGTATACATAACTTACATAGACTATTTAAGTCACATAACAACTGTGTAGTTGGATATATCATCCCCACTTTATAGATTTAAAAACTGAGACACATAAGTTTTTTTAACCCAAGATAACACTATAGCTGGAAGTGGTGACATCTGAACAAACGTAGTAGGGCTGGAGGCTGCACTGTTAGCATTTTGACTCCCTAATCACCTCACTCAGGAATCTAAGAAGCAAACTGCAATATAAAATCCAAATTCTTCAGCAACAAATGCCCTTCACAACTTACCCTAATTTATCCTTCCAGTCTCAACCTTCGCCTATCCTACACTCTAGTAATACTAATTACATGCCAAATATAGCATGCTTTCAACCCCTATGTCCTCACAAATTCTTTTCTCTCAATGGTTTTTCTCCCTTCTCTATTCACACAATTAAATATTACCTCCTCTATATGGCTCAATGTCATCAGATGGATCTTCTTCTTCATGTTCCCATCCCACTATGTGAACACTGTTAGTACAGGACCTATCACTGTTTTAGGGTTAATGCATCAGCCACAATAGAGCAGGAGCCCATTGAAGGGTGAGGTCTTCTCATCCTCAGAGCCCAGCACAGAGTTTGGGACATAAAGAGAGATTCAAGTATTTACTGAATATGTGCCAAAAGGAAACACCAGAGATACAGAATGGAACTGCCGGGTTGTCCCTCGGCTGCAGAGGCCTTCTGTCTTCCTACATCCTTATTCTTCTAACATCATTTCCTCCATCTTGAAGTCTGCCCTTTTGCCTCCCACTTCTGAGGCTTCTAGTCTTTTGCCATCTGTCAATTAATCCTGCTAAGGTAGTAAAGTATTAGCTGACTTTCTCAGAAGAGGCAAAAATGACAGGCAGTAATTTTTATTTTGAGGTAGATTTGTCTACTCCTTGACACAGTGTATCAGGAAGAGAAATAGGAAATATGTAGAGACCACAAATAGCACCAAGACACCCTAATTGCCACTGCTACCAACCTTAGACTCTAGACACTATACTGTTCTGTATGCTACTGGCCAGCTCAGCTGGGCCACTTCACACTGAGGAAATTTCCTTGGGAGAGGTAAGTAAGTAAAGATTTCAAAAAGGTTGCCAACTCCCATACTTTGAAATCAAATCCAAACTCTTCAAACCAGCAGTCAAAAGCCCTCCATAAAATGTTTCCAGGCTGTGTGAGGGACAGTTTCTGGGCGGGGGCAGAACCCCTTGTGCCTTCCCTATGGGCACAAGTGGTTCACCAACAAAAGGGGAGCTCAGAAAATTTACTGGACACTCCTGCTACGAACAGATACCGCAGGATGTGTGTAAGGGAATCCTCTGTCATCATCTTGTGACTCTTCAGTAAACCAAACACTATTTGTTAATAGAGAAATTTTGTTAAATGTTAAATAATAACAAAAAAATCTAAGGAGGTAGAGGAAAAAAGCCCTCCATAATCTTGCTCTCTCCTAGCTATTCAAAGTCATTTCCCACTCCTCATTCATCAACATAAACTCCCCAGAGCATCATAATCTGATGGGAAACCCCACACAATGCTTTCCAGTTAGTTATTCTCCTTCAAAGGACACCCATCAAGCCTACAACCAGCTTCCTGATTCATTCTTTCCTGTTGCTAAAGAACCCTAAGACTCATTCTGTTTTCACCTCCTTTGTGAAACTGCCACCACAGAACTGTGTTCCCTGGGGTTCTTCATGACTACCACATTCTCCCACACCGGGCTGGCTGCAGATTGGAGGGAAATCATCCCCCTTTCCTTCCAGATCCTAAAGATGCACCCTTTGCTGCCTGCCCCACTTTTTACTGCAGACAACTATGGGAAAAGAATCACGTAAAATCAAAAGCACCAAACACAAAACAGGCACATAATAACAAAAATTATGCCCTCTAGGTGAAGTGAGTCAAGAGAACCATAACTCACAGGAAGGTCCCTTTTCTGACCACGCGGCTAGAATACATAATCTAGGCAGAATATTGAAGTAATTTTACATCTCAAGACATGGGTCTCTGGAAAAAGTGATCCGAGTCTACAAAACATTAATTCATTTTCTAAAAAACGTTTTAGGGTAGTTTTGTTTTTACAGGAAAAAATTGCAAAGACAGAGTTCCCAAATACCGTACACCCAATTTCCCCTATTGCTAACATCTTGTCTTAGGAGTATACATTTGTCACAATTAATAAACCAATATTGATACATTATTAGTAACTAAAGTCCATACTCTATTTATACTTCCTTAGTTTTCCCCTAACGTCCTTTTTCTGTTCCAGGATCGTACCCAGGACACCACATTATATTTAGTTGTCGTGTGTCCTTAGGTTCTTCCTGGCTGTGAGTTTCTGAGACTTTCCTTGTTTTTCATGACCATGACAGTTTGGAGGAGTACCACTAATCCATTTTTTTTAACAGCTTTCCAACATAACTACACACTTCCTTACTTTTGCCTACACAGTTTGTCAATCTTCCCTTCCTGGAATATCCTTTGAAACTCCTTGCCCATCAGCAGTTTGGCATTTTGTAACTGGCACCCTGAGAAAGGGATTCCCAAGACCCCTTCAGGGAGTCTGTGAGGTCAAAATTTTCATAAAACATTTCTGTCTTTTTTACTCTCATTCTCCCAAAAGCGTGGAGTTTTCCAGAGTCTGCATCAGATATAATGACAGCATCCCTCTGACAGCTAATGGGATGTGTATTGGGTATTCTTGTTTTCTAAAATTTTCTAAGGTAGTAGATTTAGGATATAAATGTACATATTTAGAGATTAACTTAGTTTGCTTTCAGTATTATTGCTGCTGTGCTCTTATTACCCATCTTCAATTATACCTCCTATAATCTACGTATCTATGAGGATGAATTTTCTTCATATACTTCAACCAAAACTTATGAAAGAATAAAGGAGATATGAGAATCCAGCTATCTTTTATTAAGTCAAACATTAAAGAGATTTGCAAAAATGTAAAACAATATTATGCTCCTCACTGATTTTTGTTTTGGAAAATAGTTTTCTTTAAATATAAAAATGTTATTTTTGTCAACATATGACTTTTAAATGACTTAAAAATTTTCAACTTCTCAGTTTTAATTTCTGATATGACAAATATCAATAGATATAACCAATGTAAACAAAAGTTCTTTGGGGTCCTCAGTGATTTTTAAGAGTATAAAGATGTCTTGACTAAAAAGTATTCACAATCTTTTTATTTTTCAAGACCCTCCTCAAATCTCCACATCCTCCATGTAGGTTTCTGTAATCACTTTGGTCTTCCACAAGGTTAAAGAAGGAAAGGATTAAGTGATAGTACTTTCAGTCTCTTTCTCATTATTTTGCCTGTCAAAACACTGTTCTCGCAATCGAGCATCAATAAACCCCAGAAGCATCTTTTTTGTTGAATGATGAAAACAGAATTTTACAGTGCTGATGACGTACACTTAAATAAGAATATGACTGATATAAAATATTTCATTGTTGAATTAGTCTTTTTTAAAAATTATTTTTATTTTTTGTAGAGATGGGGTCTTGCTATGGGGCCCAGGCTGGTCCTGAACTCCTGGCCTCAAGCAATCCTCCCACCTTGGCCCCCAAAGTGCTGGGATTAAGGTGGGAACCACCATGCCTGGCCTATTAGTTTTGTAAGTGAAATTTGTTCTGAGGTGAGGATGTATTCCGAGCAGAGTTTGCCTCATTTGACATTTTTAGCAGCCGTTGTTTTAACTGGAGGATTTTAACATGTAAATATTTATTAGTCACTATCTACTGATTTGTCCTTTTATGTCTACTGATCTTGACCCTGTAAACAAGGCCTTAACAAAAAATGCACAAAATAACATGTAGATGTAACTTCGTTTGCCAATGGAATATCTCAGATTCTTCTGACAGCCTATGGTAACTTTTATAAAATTAATTTTCCTTTACTTAATAGGTGATTATTTACCCTTTTTTTCTGTTAAGACCAAATCTGAGATATAATAAAATTAACAGCAACCCTTCAAATGGAGAAAATATTGTGTGTTACCATGTAAAGAACAATTATGAAGCTAAAAAAGCTAGATTCCTTCACAACCTTAATTTGTGGAACAGAAATCCCAATGGGAGCACTCTACTCTCAAGTAAACCTTCAATAAAGTGGCAGAAAATTCTTTTCATCCTTTTAACGAAAGTATTATGGAAAGGAGCAGCCTGGAGAAACCAGATACGAAATAAACGTTTTCAGTTTGCCATTCTAGAAAAAAGTTTAAACGTTAAAGTCCAGGCAAATCATGAAAATTTATAACCGTTTTACAGTATGTAGTGTACACTTGGGTATTAGTGTCGAGGGAGGAAGGGTGCTCCTGGGTTTTATCTTTTACCACTTCCAAAACAAGACATTACTGAACTGGGATAACCAATTTGTCAAATTAAGGAAATAGTTTCCTAAACCAACTTTCTGTCAGGCTTTCTGTTTGTTCAGCTGACTCACTCGGCCCGTGAAAAAAAAGACCGTGCTTGTTCCCCCTCAAATGTCAGCGTCTGTAGCCAGTCCCGTTGAAATATATGCCACAGAGATTCAGATAGTAAGGGGAAGAAATAGAGAAAGCCCTAACCACCCAGGGTGGCCTTTAAGAGCCCCAGCCGCCTTCCGCAGCCTTTTCCCACTTGCTCTACGCCCACCCCGGCAGCCTCTCGGCCAGTCCCCCATTGCCGAGGTCGCCGGCGTCCCGTCCCAGAACTTCCAGAGTTGCCCACGAAGTCGCCCTCCCCCGGCCTTCGGAGAGAACCAGCACAGGTAGCCAAGGCAGGTACGCCAGCCCCGACTGCCACTCACCTTGCTGGGTCCCCAGGCCGCTGCCGGCCCAGGCTCAGGCGATGCCACTCCGACCAGATCCATTGGGGGAAGAAGACAGCGATAAGAACAGAGCAGAGAGGTGGCAGGACGGGCAGGAGGCTCCGCCGAGGAGACAGACGGGGCCGGGGTGACCAGCGGCTGGTGCCGGAGCTGAGATGACAGATGGCGGCGGCTGCCGCGTCCGGAACTAGACCTCTCCTCTTCCGTCCTTACCGCGAGCACAGTCGTCTCCAATTGGTCGCTCGCCTCTGGCTCCTCCTTGAGGCACCTCCCCCTCCATCCCGGGAGGCCACTTCCGGCCACTGCTCGCCAGGCGTAGGGTGTAAAGTCCGGCAGGCGCTGGTTGTGGTCGCGGTTGGCAGTGTCGGCAGGCGCTGGGTGTGGCTCCCTCTGGCCCAGGCTCTGCCCTCTCCCCGCGCTGCCTTCCCCTTGCTTCTTCCCTGGCAGCCCAAGATAGCCGCTGCATCTAGTTAAACTAGATTAGACTGCTTGGACTATAAATAAACAAACCTCCCAGGCTCTCTGCGTTCATTCATTATTTCCCGGCGTAAAAAACCGCGATGATTTGGAAGACGGAAATGGCAGATTTAGAGAAGGGAAAGGCACTGAAGAGGACGGTCGAATTCAGTTGTCGTTAAGAGGTGGGACGTGGAATGCGGAAATTTGTAAAATGTGTTATATAACATTGAGTCCTATTTTTATAGGACTCAATAACAGTTTTTATAATAAAAGTTTTGATTCCTTATTTTGTAGAGAGATTCTCATAAAGTGACCCAATAAAAGATAACTAAGCACTACATTTCCCTTACTGTTATATATCCATGCACCGTGCAAAATACTTTAACTCTTTAGTGGTCAGAATAACCCTGAGGGGTAAATGCTGTCATTATTTCAGTTTTACTGATAATGAAACCGAGGCACAGAGAGATAAAGTAACTTATTTGAGGTCATACAGTTACTTAGTGGCAAAGCTAATAAGGGGTGAAACCAGGCAGTCTGGGTTTAGGGACTGGCTCTAGACTGTCTATATGTTGACTATTCAGACATTCTAGGAAATACCTACTGAATAACTGTTTTCCCTCTCAGTTTTGAGTCAGGATCTCTAACTGTCCATACATGAAAGCCCTGGGATACTGATCCTAATGATTGATGATTGGCACACAATCCTTGCAAACTACTTTCCTTCCAGGTTAAAACATGTTCTGAATCCTCCAAACGCTGCCACTAAAATAAGGCAAACTATAGCTATATGATAGGATATAGACCCATGCTTGGCAAATGTTGTCTATGTGTGTGGAAATTGTGTTCCCTCTTAGTGTTCAAAGGATTATAATTGGAGTATAAATAGTTGAGGGAAAATGGGAGTAACCTGAAACGAAACGGACTTCTCAATTCTGGATAAGAAAAAAATAGGAGAGAGGATCAACCAGGAGAAGTTATTGGAAACTCCTATTAAATTTGCCAAGGATTTCTAAAGAAAAGATTAAAAGGAAAAGAGCAGATTAGAGAGAAAGGCTGAGATGCAGTTTATGACGAAAAGTTACCATTGGGGGCATATCAGAAAAGGACAGGAGGTTGAAAATAAAACTAAGAATCTGAATATTCTTTTTAGATCATCTATTCAACAAATTTCTATTGAGTGTTTGCTTAAGTCCCTAACAATGGAGTAACAAATATGAATAAAAATATGTGCCTGCCCTGTGTACCTTGAGGTCCTAAACACAGGTACAATTAAATGTTTAAGATGTTATGACAGAGGCCTGTGCACAGCCCAGTGGATGTAAAGGAGGGAGAGGTTAGATCCACCCAGATGCTCAGGAAAGGTTCCTTACAGTAGATGACGCTTGAACTCAGCCTTGCAACAAGATCAGGCATCAGTGAGATGGACTATGAGGTGGAGTGGGGACTTCGACACACGGAGAACTGTCTCCAGGGTGTGTCAGAAAAGGGCAATGGTTTGGCATGGCCAGACCTAGAGTTCAACAGGGACAAAGTGAAAAATTGGGTTGGAGAATGCAGAGAAGGGCCGGGTCCAAGCGTTTTTAATGCTAAGGACTTCAGAATTTAGACAATAAGGAGCCATTAAAAGGGAAGAATACTGTTTTCAGATTTGCTTACTAGAAAGATCATTCTGACAGCTGTGTGAAGGATAGATTGGGAAAGGGTTAGGCTGCAGACTGGAAAACCTGCCGGGAATTGATGAAGAGGGTTGCCTGGACTTCCATTGACACATTCTTTAACTGTGTTAATACTTTCCATCTAATTTCAAGCCTCAGAAACTCTTTTTTTATTTCTTTAAAGTGACTTTGAATATTCTAACTCTGATTTCACTTCTCTTATTTCCAAGATTTGGTTTTGGGGTTTTGGTGCTGGTGTTGGTAGTGCCAGGTGAGGGTAGGATGGAATGCAATGCAGGCATCTCAATCGGGTCAAGAGGGCTAAGATGATGACTTCTGCTTTCTTTCTTTCTTTTTTTTTTTTTCTTGTTTTGAGACAGAGTCTCGCTCTGTCACCCTGGCTAGAGTGCAGTGGCATCATCATAGCTTAGTGCAACCTGTAACTCCTGTGCCCAAGTGATCCTCTTGCCTCAGCCTCCCAAGTGGCTGGAACTACAGGCTCATGCCATGATGCCCATCTGGCTAATTTTTCTATTTTTAGTAGAGACGGGTTTCACTCTTGCTCAGGCTGGTCTTGAACTCCTGAGCTCAAGTGATCCTCCGGCCTCAGCTTCCCAGAGTGCTAGGATTGCAGGCGTGAGCCACAGCATGGTCCTGTTTGTTTTGTGACAGGGTCTTGCTCTGTCGCCCAGGCTGGAGTGCAGTGGCATCATCATAGCTCACTGCAACCACGAACTCCTCTGCTCAAGTGATCCTCCTGGCTCAGCCTCCTGAGTAGCTGGGGCAATAGGCATGCGCCACCATGCCCCAGCTAATTTTTCTATTTTTTGTAGAAACAGGGTCTCACTCAGTCACCCAGGCTGGAGTGCAGTGGTGTGATCATAGCTCACTGTAACCTCAAACTCCTGGCCTCAAGTGATCCTCCCATCTCAGCCTCCCAAAGTGCTAGGATTATAGGTACACACCGCCTCACTCCGCTGATTGGTTGTTTGCAATTTAGGTATATACCTGATGTCACCAACTATGTACTCCTCCCAAATGAAGATAGAAGGACATTGACAATATTTACAAATTTTACATTTATAAATGTTACGAATAGGAAAAGTATGGTTTACCAATAACAGCATTTAGTCCTATGTGATTTCCTACTGAGCCGTAAATGAGGTAAGGGCCATTTTGCTGGGAGGTAGAGTAAGCACATATTTGAAGGGTTTGGCTCCAGCTTCTATATCCTGTCATCTCTGCAAATGAACTCACTGGTGCTCAATAGCAACAAAACTATTCGAGAATGTGCTTTGCCTAAACACATGGAATCAGCAGATTCTTTGGTCTCTAAAGAGAAGAGAAATAAGGCTCTTTAGTCTTTAATATTGAAATAAATTAAGTCTGTTTTGCAAACAGCTGCTTCAGGCCATTAACAAATATTTATTAACTGCTTGGGATACCCCCAAAGTCTTGTGGGAGAAACAAAGAACCATGAGGCTATAGCTGGGGTGATAACATATTCATACAACAATATAAAAGATCTATATTTAATAGGGTTAATAAATATTAATATTTAAATATTTATATTAAGTAAATGTTAATAATATTATACATTTCTATCTCAAAAGAGTGCATGATTTATTTCCAAATGACAGCTAGAAACAATAAATGTTTCAGGATTCATTGTGGGTTGGTGAGATCTGGAAGGGCTGCATGGCACCAAACTAGGCCCTGGAGGTGAGGGAGACACCATAAAGCTAGTTTGGGTAGAAGGACAGCATAAGACAAGGCATAAAGGCAGAAAAGTCCATTGTATGTTTAGTGACTTCTGAGTATTTTCATAAGGTTACTAGAGTGAAATGTTATGAATATAGTTCAGTTAGGGTCAATTGGGACTCACTGGTTCTTTTTTTTTTTTTTTTTGAGACAGAGTCTCACTCTGTCACCTGGGCTAGAATGCTGTGGCATCAGCCTAGCTTCCAACAACCTCAAACTCCTGGGCTCAAGCAATCCTCCTGCCTTAGCCTCCCAAGTAGCTGGGACTACAGGCACATGTCACCACACCCAGCTAATTTTTCTATTTTTAGTTTCCCAGCTAATTTTTTTCTATTTTTACTAGAGACAGGGTCTTGCTCTTGCTCAGGCTGGACTCGAACTCCCAACCTCAAGCTATCCTCCTGCCTCAGCCTCCCAAGGGCTAGGATTACAGGTGTGAGCCACTGTGCCCTGCCATATTGCAATTTTTTTTTTTTTTTG